GATTTGCTCACTAAATATATCTCTCAAATAAAATAAAAAGGCGCATTCTTCCGAGAAATATCATGGGAGAACCCTCTTCCCAACGAGTACCAAACGCCCACTAGAATATGGTTAGATTCTTATAAATGCTTCGGAAAATCAACGATTCAAAATCTAATAGATAGATAAAAATAAATAATATAATAGAAAATATTAAGGATACATTCATAATAAGTAAAAAAAACATATAACCAGCTAAGCTCCAACAAACACTGCTGTTCAACTAAACACCATCCCCTCTGTGCTCCGACCAGGACTGTGGAGCTGGGTAAACATCCCCACACAGGTACTCCCAACTGCAATGAACCATGCTCTCATCAAATGAAGAAGGAAAAATGGTAGTTCGCATAAGGCGAACACACCCCCACATCACAAACGCCCGTCAAGAAAGGGGCTCGTATGTTATTGAAGCCAAGCCCTGGCACACTGTCACACAAGCTCGCCCTCTCATGAAAAAAAATAAATAAAAAAAAAACACAACGACATCAGAGCCCCAAAACATGATCGATATACTGTTATTGGCGCTTCGGGAGTAAACGTAAACGAGTGGTTCTGAGTCTGTGTGTCAGAGTCACCTCCGAGCAGTATAAACACGATATTATTGTGGGACTAGCTACATACTAGCTGGTGTAGAGAAGGGGGAAAACATGTCCACCTCCCATTTTCCTATGCATCAGCAGTAGCCCCGATGGCTAGCGTGGCGTAGTGCGTAGCATGGTAGCTGCCCTAGCTTAATACTAAATAGCACTGGTAATGATTTTAGTTCAGTGTCACGAAACAACTTCAGCTACTGATGCTTTAACCCGCCGTGTGGCGATGTGCTGGGTCGAGGGGAAACACAGCAGCCCGCCGAGCAAAAGCATGCAACTTTAAGACGCTTGAACCGGATAATAGTGGTGTTAGTTTGAGAGCTAACCACAGCTAACTGTGTGTTAGCACGGACACCTCAGTGCTAACAGCTAGCCCTTGAGCTCAGCTTGGAGACGAGAAGATAATTTAGTAGCCAGACGATTATCTAACACAAATCTGGAAGCGAGTAAAGTGGATTTTATTCTTGTTTTCTTTTAAACGTGAGGCAGACAGACAGCTGAGTTGACGTTAGCTCAGCTGCAGGACCCCACTGTGTGTACTCCTCGCCTGCTTCATAGTTGACATGTCTTGTTTCCAAACATATTACACATTATCTCGCTGCTCGCACCGGGAGGAAACGGCCTGGTGGCAAACACAGATGCTTAAATGCACATTTTTAACGCAGGGGAATTGATATTAACGCTAAGACGGGAGGATAACTTTTAACTGTGTGTTGATGAACATGAATCTCCAGGCATCATATTGAAGCTAATGTCAGGTAGCTGCACTATTAAACCAGTTGTTACGGGTTATTTACACAGTGTAGCGACACATTAGTCAGCCTGTGTGTGTGTTTAATTAACAATACAACCCCAGGATATATATATAATATATATATATATCTCTATATATATATAGATATATATATATCTCTATATATAGATATATATATGTATATATATTCAATATTTACATTCAGAACGATTCTGCATTGGGGCTGTATGAAAATACTGGGTCCATTTCTTTTTCACACTTGTTTCACTCCCCTTTATTTCAAATACCTCAATAGAGGTCAATCTCATTTTTATACTTGCTGTCAATCTGAGAAAATGTAAACCTGCAAGAGATGAACTTGTATTTATGCTTCTGCTGCCTGCTTACCACAGTTTGTCCCGTAATGAGCCTAAGACGAAAGACTTGTGTACTCTGACAGAGCGATAGTGTCTTTCTGATGGCTTATTGTCTGTGGACCAAGAAACTGAACTCTGTTTCTCTGTAGCTTTACTTCCTGTCTTTTTCTATACTCAACAAGTTTTATTTTATTAATGCATTTTGATTATGAAGAGTCATGACTGCAAGCTACTTTGAATTTGTCTGTTCAGGACTACTATGATATAACTTGTTAATGTGACTTGGATTGAATTAAAAAAAGAAACGTTAACACACAGTTCTGTCGCAATGGTATAATTGAGTGTGTGTGTGTGTTTGGTAGCTTGATATAGAGCTAGAATGTGTTGTGTGAGTGTGTTGTATGACAAGTTCTACCATAACATTGCCAGGAAATTATTATTTTTGAGGCTTGGTCAAAGTGTAATGTTACTTAAACTTTAACTTAAAGCATTTATTTACTGACATTGATGGCCAAAAGACTGCATATCCATGTATATCGCAACTGATCTTTCTTCATCCTCTCAAGTTCTTAAGGAGAGAGTGACGCTGATGTCAGGTTAGCGGTTACAAAGATGGGCCTTTCTGTTAGCAGGTCTACAGTAACCTGGCTTATTGTATAAATGTCTCCCTCTTGAGGTAACATTGTGGCTGTGCAGTTGACTATATACAGGTATACTGTATTGAAGTTTACCATGTAACTATATTTGTCAAATAGCTCTGTTGCACATCATTTCTATTTCAGGAGATGCATGGTGTAAGTAGAATTAGCAAGACCCTGGCAGCAGGAATTGACTGTGTCCCCTTTGCTTTCATTGATCGGATGTCGATGTCTGATGATGATGATGATCACTTTCTTGCAGAAAGCCAGTGTGTGGAATCTTTTGTGAATTTTTTTTGAAGACAGTGATTGGCATAATATTCTGAACTTTTACTTAGCCATGCCAAAGTTGCGTGGCTTGGTCATGAAATTGTGTGCAGACATTCATGATGAACCGAGGATGCATCCTAATGATCCCCTGACTTTTCCTCCGGTGTCGCCATCAAGTCAAAGGATTCACTCCCCCTGTGAAACATCAAGACAATATAAACAATGTTTCACACAACTTCGGTCATCTCTAGCACCATAAGGGGGTGGTGGCTTTGAGTGGATTATCTTGACAGCTATTATGTGGATTGCTATGAAATTAGCCTTCTTGTCCCCCTGAGGATGAAATGTAGTAACTTTGATCCAGTAACGTTTCCTCATTCTACATTTTAAAGTGTCTAATTCTTTGGACCTGCAAAACAAAACATTCCCATCAACCTCAGCTACTTTGAATTTAGTGATAATTAACAAATGGTGGCATTTCTAACACACTAAACTAAGATGGTGGTGAACTTAGCACACCTGCTAAAAATCTGCATGTTAGCGTCATCATTGTGAGCATGCTAGTGTTAGTATTTAGCCCAGAGCACTGCTTCATACAGCCGCCTCAACAGTATATGTGTAACAAGGCTTTAGCTGCTCTCATTCTCGGTACGTAACTTAAAAAAAGTGCCCGTGGCGTTTCCTCATTAACTCCACACACAATAAAGCGAATGTTTAAAGTGATTACTTACTAATGAAATGTTTCTTTTAATCAAGAACTATTCTCTCTTGCAGATCTTATTATGCATCATTTATTAGTCTGCTGAACGAGTTCTCATCAAGAGTCCCCACTGTGTTTCTCAGCAGGTGAAATGGAAGTCTGTGTTTAAGATCCACATATAAAAGCTTGAACAGAGCAGATCAGATGATTCTTAAAACCCAAGATTACATAATTTGTACAATAAACAATAAACTTCATCCCTCTTCCTCCTCTGCCTCACCCTTCTCCTGCTCTTTTCCCTCGTCCTCTTCGCCCTTCTTCTCTGTGGGTCTCAGCTGTTGCGTTTATGGAAACAAGACACTCGATTATGTTCACCTCATCGTTGTCCGTGCTCCATCAGAAACCTCACACATCCAGCGCGGCTAACATCGACCCAACAATTTCTGATATGAGCCCTGAGGCTTGATGGATGATTGCACTTTAAAGGTGTGTGCGTTGCGGTGCCGGCGGTGTTAGTATTGGGGATTAGTGGCCGATTGATCATTGCGATTGGCTTGCAAACAACAAGCTGTCATTGTGGACACGGAGGTCATAAATCTGTCCGTGGGGAACCGGCTGATTGTGTTATTTGATGCACTCTGTGCTCCTGTTTTGGATGAGTTTGAAATGGGAGAGGTCTGGGTGTCAGAGCTGATTGTGTTTAGGCCTGTCAGACATTATTGGTAATGAGATTTCTGCCTATTGACAAGGGTGGGCGGGGCCACCGGGGTCTATTGAAGGGTGGAGCAAAAAGAGAGGAAAAGAAAAACGGCAACTGGTGTCAGAGAGTGGCAGGGAGGAACTTTAATGTTTTACAATGTGTATTTCAAGGCCTTGATAACACATTATCTCTTTCAGTGCTACTATGAGCGGTGGGGTCCAGCCTGAACACAAAATTTAGTTCAGTTTCTGCTATTTCAATCAAGAGCTTTCTCAGTGGTTTGAAGTGGGCGGGGCTGAGTTAAAGGAAGTTGATATCGCTTGCTCCCGTGAGCCAATCAGGAATCAGAATCTGATAACTGATGTTGTGTTGCCAGGACACTGACACTACATTTTTTACTGTTGAAAATTAATAACTAGGAATTTATTTTTTTTATTTTTATTTTTTAAACTTTGCCTTTAACTTGGGGGTGCCTGTGTGGCTCAGTGGGAGTGTGTGCCATGTGTCTGGGCTGGGTCCTTGCCCCAGCGGCCCGAGTTCAGGTCTTGCCTGGTGCCCTTTGCTGCATAGCATCCCCTCTCTCTCCCCCTCTCTTTCCTGTTTGTCTCTGCTGTCCGAAATGCCCCAAAAAATACAAAATATTTAATGTTATTCAGAAAAACTTCAGATACAGTTTTCAGGGTTCTAGTTTTCACATCTTTTCTCACAGCATTTATGGCTGAAGACATAACCATCCCCAACAGCTCTGTAGAGAGAGTCACTTTAACATGATAACAAAAAAAAGATTTAGCTGCAACTGTCCCACTGTACCACCCACATGTATAAGATAATAAATGGGATAAAATTTGGACTCCTGGCTTATTTTTCCCTGTTAGACTAATCTTAGACAATAACGCCCCTAACCCTAACCCTAACCCTAAGCCCTCCAAATCTGATATTGCCAGTTCGCATTGTTAAAACATTGCATCCCTCAAGAGACTAATTCTACACGATTCATATAAAAAAGCATTACCTGGCACATTTTCACATTATATCATGTTGTGAATGCCTTCCATTGGTCTTTTTGTTATGAATACACCACAGTCTAATGAAGAATACTACACTGGCAAGGCATCTCATTGTATCTGTGTACATGGTGAAATATTTGGTTTCTTTATGTTTGTGTGTTACCGCACAGATACACGTTCAAAAGTCGTCCAGGAAAATGCTTCAATCAGGTGAGAAAATATGCAATGATGGGAGAAAGAGGAGGAGGAACAGATAAAGCTCGGGTGAGGAGGGAGGGAGGAGAGTGACGGCAATGGGGGGGGGGTGTTGTTGATTGTTTCTCATACAAGAGTGGTATCGCAGACAGATCTCCATACCAGACCACAGGGTACTCTGGGCTCTGTGTGTCTGTCACAGGAGCCAAAGAGGGTGGGAGGGCGTTCTCCAACTCATAGATTACCAGTTCCTGTCATCTTTCCCTGTGTTTTTGCTTATCTCCTGTCTTATTGTTACTCTATATCTTACTCATTTACTCTTTTTGTGTCCCTAAACATTTTTGCTTCAATCTGGGTCTAACTTATCAAGGACGGTTTGAGTAAATATGGTCAGCATCAGTTTGCAGCGCACTGAAGAACATCAGCACAACTGGAATTAAATTGTCCAAACTGACAACTGGAGGAGCTTTCACCTTTCATTTCTCAAAGGTGAGTGTTTTATTTCCTGCAAAATGTTTCTAATGTGTTGCATATTTAAAAAGTAATTTTATTAGTAATAATACAGACACACATTTTGCCGTAACTTATATACCTCTGTTTTTTTATGTTGTCAATTATTACATTTGGCAAGATTTTTAGCAGTTTAGTAACAAATGATTAAATGGTGATATAATAGCTGGAAAGATTGGGTTGTTACATTGGTTTAATATTCACGTTTTCAATTCTCTAAAAAATCAAAACAGCTCTATTTTATGACAAAATTCGGCCCATTTTTTTTTTTTGTAGAAAATTTGAATATATTTTTTTATGATCACTTTCTTATATTTAAGAAATAAACTCAGCCTAATACTGATATTTCTTTTTCAATAAACATAATTTTAGTGACTAGCTCCAAACAGAAGTCAGTTGCTAAATCTTGTGGACAACATGTTGTGGTGAGACAAGGTTAGCGGACACTGGGCCAACTGTGTGAGCAAAATGGCGATCAACAAGTGTGATATGAAATGAGCACGCTGTGATGGCCCCACACCCTCAGCCTGGATCCTAGCACTCTCTGTTGCTTTTCTCCCTCTCCACTCTAAAGCTTGAAATTAATTAAAATATATAATTCCGTCCTTACAGTTTCATCAACATTTTTATAAAACACCATCATTTTTCATGTTTATTTGCTTTCCTTTTTTTTAAGGTTTTTTTGTTTTAATTTTTATTGCAGAATTTTTTTCTCTGACTGTTGTAATGAACCCTGTAACTTTTGCAGTGCTAACCCAATTTCCCAGACGGGGAATAATAAAGTTCCATCTTGTGTTTTTCTTAATCTGCACTCAAGGCTCTCGAGCTGCACCCTCCTTCCTCTTCTACAACCACCAGCGTTTCGCTCCTGAAGGCTGTGCACCCCTCCATGCTGACGGAGAGAGTCCCTGTTGGCCTGATGTCCTCAGTTGTAGCCCCAGAAAAGCCCACCTCCAACACCATGGGCCCCAAAGAGGTCAGTGCAGATTAGACAGTAGACACAATTGTAGTGGATTAATGGCACGCAGTTCAATCTGATCAAGAAAAACTGGATCACTGTACGGTGCAAGTGCCTTAATTAAGTGCATTTCTCTCTGACTTGGTCTGTTTATGCACACCCACTTAAAATTGAGTGGTTGCCATAATGGTGACGAAAGCCACATTTTCTGGAAGTTAAAATGTGCTTAATTTGCACCATTTACAATTCACATAATTACTCCCTATAAGTATTAAAAGTATTACTCTCATTATGGTGCATGAAGCACTGATGAAATGAGGGTGACTGTCACTGTCTGTCATGTGTGGGAAGTGAGAGACTAATAACGAGGAAGAGACTTTAGTGACTAAAAGAGACCCATTAAATCACATTTACCTGCTTGTACATGTAAATGTTATCTGTCTGCTCTATTTTAGGTGGAGCTGATCCTGGTGAAGGAGCAGAATGGGGTTCAGTTCACCTCGACCACCTTAGTGGCTCCAACCCCTACTCAGACCCACCCCAGTGGGGAGGAGGAGAGGGAGACCTGGGGGAAGAAAATCGACTTCCTCCTGTCTGTGATCGGGTTCGCCGTGGACCTCGCCAATGTCTGGAGATTCCCCTACCTTTGCTATAAGAATGGAGGAGGTGAGATGGGTTAAAGGAGGGAGGGGAAGTCATGTCTAAAGGGTCCCCTACCAGAGTAAGAACGTGAAAGAAGGAGGTGTACTTCATGTGAGAGAATAAGATCATCCCCCTCTCCTATGAGAGCACTGAAGAAAGGAATTGAAGGGTTGATGGTGAAAATATATTGAAATATAGAAAGAAAGGAGAGAAAAACACTTGTATACTGTATATTTTCACCTGCGTGTACTGCATGCGCGTGCATGCACAGATTATTTGCCCATGTATGCAGATTTGCGTGTGCATGTGAGTGTGTTTTAGCTCCTTGTTCTCGCTGGTTGTTGTTTGAGATTTTTTTTAAGCCTTTACAGAGATCAAAATAGGGGAAAAACCACCACAGCTGCTCCGAATAGATTAGCTCTAACAATCACTGCCACTAATTACGGCTGTTTAACATAGAGCTCTCATTATGTTTAAGAGCTGTAAATGATACTGTAGCCATAGTCAGGGCTGACTGTATGTCCCCAAATTCTACATAATGTCATAACTGTATTTAGGGGAAATATTGAGGCAATTAACCAAAATTATATAATATTTTTACATTATTTTGGGGGGTATTTTATGCCTTTATTTGATAGCTGACAGATAGAGGGATGACAAAAAATCTGAAGGTAGAGACATGAGAAACGACATGCAACAAAGGTTCAACGGCCAGATGCAAACCAGGGATGATGTGATTTGTGGTTGTCGTCTTAACCCCTAAGCCATTGTGATGCCCCAAACCCCAACTATTGTTGATAATCACTATATTCCCTCCTCTGTGACGGTACCAGCACTATGAAATCCAATCATTTGTGGCAGATTATAATATTTCCATAAACCTTGCATCGGCTGTTACACATAATCTAAAAAAGGACCTGGCCAATTTCACAGAGGATGTTTTACAGGGTGTAGTAATGCAAAGAAAGGTGACTCCCCTCCTGCTTGGAGTTTCTCCTCAGTGGGTTACTCTGCATACACCATGAGAGAATGAAACCAATTAAAACATTTTATATGGGTGGGGCATCAACTGATGAATGTTGTCACCCGTTTTTAGTAGGTTCGGTTTGCATAATTATGCTCAAAATTAAACATTTATGTCTAGTTTAACTAACAATATCACTATAAGTACTAATCAATTACAAATTCAAAGATGAAGTCTTACCTTTCTCTGTGTTCTCTGTGTGTGCAGGTGCATTCCTGGTGCCATACCTGTTCTTCATGGTGATAGCAGGCATGCCTCTCTTCTACATGGAGCTGGCTCTGGGACAGTATAACAGAGAGGGGGCAGCAGGGGTCTGGAAGATCTGCCCCATATTTAAAGGTAGGAAGTAACACGACATACTACAGACACATATTCAGATATGCAGACAGACAGACACATGCCCACACTGGAGGAAGTACGCATGGAAATTACCCTTTGTTGACACCTGCATGTCTCACAGAAATGCTTGCACATGTGTATTAAATCTGTTTGTCATGGTATGTCCGTCGGCCTACATGCCTGTCTGTCTGATATACCCTCTCTAATATTTACATGTCTTTCTGTCTGCTTGTCTGCCCACATGCCTGTCTGTCCACATGCCAGTCTCTTTTGTCTGCTTGTCTCTGCGTTGAGCAGCGACAGGCATTGTTTATCCTCCCTAGAACATCAGGTTCTGTTGGCACTCAGATGGAAAGCAAATGAAAATTGGGCTTTTAGACATTTGTCCTGATTGTCCAAATCCTTCTGTCAAGTAGTGGCGTGGAAACACTGGCTGACACTCTCTAGGGGTACTTTTCAACACATCGATAAGCAAAGCGCATTTGAGGAGAATGCCATCCGAACATGCACTAATGGGGGAAACAAACATTAAGAACAATTTGTGTTTTTGAGGCAAAGTCAGTGTTGAAAATATAATAACACACTTTGCTTGGTTCAACTTTGTATGCAGTTTACAAGCTTGTGACGTGTGTGTATTTATCCATCTCTGACTTTGCACAGTATGTCCTGCTCTGATATCAATTTGTTTGAAATTTTCATTATTTAAAAAAAAGTTATCGTTGCACCTAAATCCATATTTAACACCTCACTATGAATCCAAAGATGCAACAGAAATACAACCTCAAATACCATTATTACCAGCAGACCATCTGTTGCTTCACAGTATGATGCCATACCGCTGTCTTTTGTTACATCATGTCCTTGTTGGTCTGAAGGTGGCCCACAGTGTGTACGTGTTCCTTTGTGTTTTTCTGCGTGTGTCTCTGAGCGTGTGCCTCCTGTGTGTGAACACGCGCCGTTTGTCAGGGACCACACACTGAGTAGGTTGACGTTCTAATCACACGCTTCACTCTCTCTCTGTCTCTCAGTGGGGGGATAACAGTAATTATTCAAATACACACATACACATGCCCATATTGACAGTAATTATTCTGATCAACAAGCTGGTTTCCTCTCAGGATCAATGCGTTTGAAGAAAAATGACTGAGAAAGGGAGACGGAGGGAGATGGAGAGATAACATGGCTGCATGTGGCGCTAATAAGAGGCATTGCTCCTTGGACAAATATCACATCCACATTACAAAGGAATCGATAAGGCATAGTTGTGGTCATGCTTCTTAGCAAAGGTTAACAATTAAATTCAGCCTTAGAAGAGTGGACATTGTTTCAGATTTATAGAAAGGGCAGATGTGTTGATAATTAAGGCGTGAAGAGGATCTTCAGAAGTTGTAGTGATTTCTGTGAGACCGCAGGCATGTATCATAGGCTACTGTACTCATACTGAGCAAGAGATTGTGCTTCATGGTGGTTGAATGTCAGAGTGCCACTGTTTAGTAAAGCAATGCATACGGTTGGAACTGTTTTTCACCTGATTCACAATCTTTTTAAACATTCTTGCAATTTAAAGACAAGTGAGAGTGCATATATACCTGAGATCAGCACATCACTGTAAGTGTGAAAATGTGACTGTGATGTCAGTCACCACCCAAGAGAAGTCAGAGGTTTGGTCCCTTAAGCAAGACAATAATCTGATCTGCTGCATTCACTAAAACAAGTTATACAATAATAATTTGGTATGCTTTTTTAATTGTGTTTTATGTGCATCCTCTCACCTGGACATATTCACTGGTGGAAAAAAGTATTCTGCCAGAAGTATTATACTTTGTCTGCCAGAACATCCTCCCTTTGACTCATTTATTATATTATATTATTAGTGTTACTGAGGTACCAGTGTATGTGTTTTAACTTCTTTATATGCAGATTGATAGTGTAGCACAGTACTGTAGGACATGAAAAGCCCAAAGGGTCAAAAGATAAAGAGTCATGGCTTGTGGGACATAAATTTGTATTCATGTATTCATATTTTGACTTTTCTCTAAATTTATTTAGTTAAACATTGGATAAGTTTACCCTTTTGGGCCATAAAAGTTATTTAAATGTTTTTCCACATGCCTTTTATGCCTTTGTCTGATGACTGACAGTATGAAGATTAAGATAAAAAAGAAGATTAGTAGAAAGATGAAATTCAGAGACAGAAAGAGAGATGTAGAATGACACCCAGGAAAGGTCCCTGGCCAGCCACTGCTTTTTTGGAATGGGTTATGAGGCAAAAAGATTGGGAACCACTGGTTCAGCCTTTAACAATGCATTATATTGCAT